AATACCGTACTGCACTGCCATGCTGGCCCAACCTCAGGAGACAGAAAAGTGTATGGAAAGCACTATGCTTTAGGATGAAGTCGCCCGGATTCCAGTGTCAACTCTGATATTTATGAGCTGTGAGCTGTGCCACTTTTCTTCTGCAAGTAGGTAAGCACCTCCAGTTTTTCATCTCTTCATCTGCAAATGGGACCATTGTGCCCATAAGCATTATTGCAGGAGGTCAAGAAGATTAAATAATCATACATGTGAGCGCAGGTAACACAGTGCCCAGAGCTTACTAAACACTCTCCAGATTTTGGCTTCATTCCTTTCCTTGCTTGATTTTTTTTCTTTTTCCAAATAGAGCTCATCTATAGACTAAGAAAAGCTGTATTTTTGTCAAGCATAAACTAAAGAAGTGACCCTGAGTGTGGCTTAGCAAACTTCCGAGCGGGTGCTGGTTATTTTCAGAAGCGTCACATAATTCTCAAATTAAAGTTAACTTTTAAACTTCATTATTTTAAAATGCCACCGGAGTGAAAGGTGACAAGTAAGTAATAATAGTGGTAGCCATTCTCAAAGGGCTGGGAGTCCCCCTGTCAGAAGAAAAAGGGAAGTGGAAATGTGACATTTAGGGAAGAACCTGATAGGATCTTTAAAATTGAGAACTAGTTATTATGAAGGGTAAACACAAACACTGCACTTGACTTATGTCATATTTTCTCGGGCTGAATAGCTGATAAAGTCACAACATGGTATAATAAATTATACATGACATTTTCATACAAGAAGTATTGAAATACAAACAAAAGGTAATGGGCAACAATTTTTGTTCTAATAATATTAGGATATTTAGGCATAAAGATAAATTCTGTGTACATTTTCAAGACTTTTAGGGTTGAGGAAGTTTAGCTGTTTGTTTGTTTGTTTTTTTGTTTTTTTTTTGTTTGTTTGTTTGTTTTTTTGCCAGGCACTATTTGGATATTTGTAACATCAATGGGCCATACAAATTATTAATTTAAAAAATTAGCCTGCTGTAGATTTAGTGAACTCTGAGTCCTGTCTGTGGTTGCCTCGGCAGAGCCAGACCAAATGATTTCATGGGCCTTAAACAGCTGAGGAGCTGGGCATTCTCCATTGCTAGTTAGCTAATTTCAAGAGGATGCAATGAAAAATTGATTATAGATCATATATTCTTATACTAACAAAAATTTCTAAAGTTTCCAAATCTGATTTTAGAAATCATGTAAAAATATGGATGTTTTATTTAACATCCTACTATTACCAATCAAAGGCAATACAGAACATACGTGAAATACAAGACATCATGTCCAATTATGCTTTGTGTCTACCTTGGAACTTAAAGTTGTCAGAACTTTGCTGGTTGTGATGTTGCCACATAAGCTTCAATGCAGGCATTGTTAGTGGGACATCTGACTGACAGAATGTGGAAATGGTTAGCTTTTATTCTTTTAGGTTCTGGGACTTAGTAAACAAACTGACAAAAATCCTTCTCCTCATAGAGCTTACATTCTATTATGGAGAGGAAGTTTTTTTTTTTTTAATAACTGCATTATATGACATGTTAGAAGGTAAAAAGGGTCATTGAGAAAAACAAAGCAAGAGAGTATATTGTATCTCTATAATATATTTGGGAAATTATTGGCTTTTAAAAAAAGATTTCTTTCTTTCTTTGAGAGGTAGAGTTAGACAGTGAGAGGGAGAGACAGAGAGAAAGGTCTTCCATCCCATGGTTCACTCCCCAAATGGCCACAATGGCTGGAACTGGGCTGATCTGAAGCCAGGAGCCAAGGAACTTTCTCTGGGTCTCCCACGTGGGTGCAGGGACCCAAGTGCTTGGGCCATCTTCTGCTTTCCCAGGCCATAGCAGAGAGCTGGATGGTAAGAGGAGCACCCGATCAACAAGAAAAGACCTATTTTTAGAAGGTGGTATCCCAGTTTCCATTCACCATTCTGCCTAGGCCGTAGTACTGACTCAGTGACTTCAGGGTAACTTTTGGGCTTAAGAGTCCCCGTGACTCCAGCCCGGGACTAGAACCAGCGCCCATATGGGATGCCAGCACTGCCGGCAGACGATTAATCTACTGTGCCACAGCACTGGACCCAAATTATTGACTTTTAAGAACTGGAAGCATCTTCAGCATTCATGGGTACTAATAAGGATAAATTAGAGTGAACAGAAACTTTAACAGAGAGATTAGAGAGATTAAATGCAGACCGTGACGAGGGAAACGGGAAGTTATAATAATGGAATCAAAGTTGGTAAGAGGCTTAGATCATGTCTACGAAAGCCCTGGTCTTCAGAACAAGAAGCAGAAATCCTGACAGTTTAAAGATTGGAGACTAGCATTAGAATTGGAGAAAGACAGAATAAAGCAGCATTCATTCCTTTAAGACAAGTCTACACTTTGACCTGCTCTGAGTACAAAGATTTTTCTCATGACCCACAGCCAAGTACTGTGGATTTTACACTACCGAAGACGTTACGAAATTGTAAGGCAGAAGTGTTACTTGGACATCATCTCCCTTGCTATTCCTGCCGGTAGATGAATGTCAGATAGTCTCTGTAATAAACTCACTTTCTGGGAACTGCCAGGTATGGCCAGGCCTACGTCTGGCTGGCAGGAGTGGCCTGAAATATCTAATTCTAGCCCTTTCCATTGAGGAAATCTAGGAGTGCGAGCCTTGCAGGGGTCTGATCCTCTGTGGAGACAGACGCTGTCCCTAGTGATCTTGATCGAACGAAGAGTTTGCACTGCATCTGATGCTGACCAAGAAATCATCAGCCCAGAGCCAACACTAGGCACCCAATCAACAAGAAAAGACCTATTTTTAGAAGGTGGTTTCCCAGTTTCCACTCACCATTCTGCCTAGGCCTTAGTACTGACTCAGTGACTTGAGGGTAACTTTCGGGCTTAAGAGTCACTGTGACTCCAGCATGCTATCTTGCTTCCTTCGGCCTCTTACTCCCAGAGGGACAGGATTAGAGCACTTATCTGTCCTGGGTTTTACCTCTTTCCCCCAGGCTCAGTGGCTTTTCGTTCATCTGCCTGGGACAGATAAGAGGAATAAAGTCAGCGAAGCATAACTGCGGGCTTGAAGCCAGCAAGTCAAGTACAAGGGACCTCTAGCAGGAGTTCAAATAGCAAATCCACCATTGGATAATGAGTAGAACAGAGGAGAGGCACTGAAGAGGATGAAAATCTTAGTTTCTTAAGTTTTACTTCAATAAATAGGGAAGTAATTATAGTAATGATGGTGATACAGCAAGTCCTAGCTTTGGAGAAATAGAATAGGAGTCTGGACTACAGATCTTTATAATTCCTAATGCATTGATCAGTCAGGATGACATACTAAGCTTAACATTGTCCCAAATGCCATGTCAAGAAACCTTGACTTTGGAGCAGACTTAAGTGATCCTTTTGCCTGGCGATTGGCTCAGTGTCACAAAGCTTCAACCAGGATGCAGGTCTGAAACTGCTTTGCAATTTGTCAGCAGACATACTATGTAAATTTTCCCTAACTTGGAGAACGACAGGAAGGAGTAAAGAGAACGAGAAAAGGACTTAAAAATAGAGTCTAGGAGAACAGTTTGAAAGAAGGGAGTGGAAAGATATCAATAGCTTTGAAGGCCACACAGAACTCCTATCCACAGTCTTCCGTTCACTCATTTATTCAGTTATTTAATGGGTAAATAGAGCAAACCTGGCAGATATGGAGAGGACAAAAACAGAGGTAGACAAAACAAAGACCCAGCTTCAAAAATCTCCTCTCCGTTGCCAGTGACCAAGCATTGAACAATACAAATGTAGAGCTGGACACAAGGAGTGAGTTTGAAGTGAAAAAAATCTTAGAAACTGAAATGCTTATCAAGGTCAAGGCAGCAATGGAAATAACAAAGATATATAATGGGAACAGTGGAAATAACAAGGGTATTCAAAAAGTTCATAGAAAATGTGCATTATGAAAAAACTATGTGAATATTCAATTTCTTTGCATCAAAATAAAAATTTTAGCTCTAATTTTCCATGAATTTTTTAAGTGCTATTTGTTTATGAGGACAACTGCTGGTTAAATCATGAAGTGATTTGCATGGTTAATCTGGAGAATTACCGACTGTTAAAAAAATGATTGTAGCATCAATTTCATAGGTTAGAATATTCTATTGCAGGCCTGGTGTGGTCAGTATAAAGCAAAACCACTGGCTTGTGGTTTCCATTGTGCCTTTCATCTGCAAAGACACACTGTGTTATTCATATCAAGGTCTATCAGGCCACAGAACTCACAGACAAGGTAGAAAACCAATGATGGCATCTCAGTCCACCGCACTGAAGTTAGCAGAAAGCCCATGATCAAATTTACCAGGAAAACAAGTCTGGACAAGTTCATGGTAAGCAGTCGTGTGATTAAGACTTGAGTTCCTTTTTTGCCACAGGTTCTTGGAGTTTCCTGGCCTTTGATTAACTAGATTTACCATCATTTAGGACAAATAAAGTTGTGACTCTGTATTACAAATATAGGGGTAAGCTTTTCCACACTTCATTGAAATGGTCTGGACAAAGAAGTTGGATAAATTAGGTACCACAAGAGGTATCTTCTGTTTCTTGAAACCATGACTTTTTCGGTTTGATTCTCTGACCATTTCTTTTTAAAAAAAATTGTAAATATTATAAAATGGATAGCCCATTTTATAGAAATTGTACACTTTTAGTCAATGCAAAATCAATCCAATAAGTGGCACATCAGAGAAAATACCTGCTTTATACAAAATATATTATTTTCTCCTATAGATAATGTTTACATATAAAGTGTATACTTTATTAATGTAGCATATGGCATAGTAATAGACAAAATGTTCCTAAGCATATCAAATGGCACAGCGTAGGCATACAATTCAGTGGAAGTGACAACTATGACATTCTTTGATTGATATCTATCTTGATCCTCCCTCATGCTGCAACAGTATCTCACAGTTCAACAGAGAGTTCAGAACTTACCTGTCTCGCTACCAATCAGAGGCTGATTTGCAAAATGCTTGACAAAATCCTTCAAAGATGAGTATTCGTTAAAGCCAAATTTAAATGAATATCCAGTATACTCAACGTGAAAGTGCTTGACAGAGTCTTTGGCTCTGAAAGGGAAAAAGATATGTTTACAATATTTTAAAAGTGAGTTTTTTTTTTTTTTTTCAAAAGAAAATATATTCTTACATAACTCTTTCTGAAAACCCAAGTGCCTGGGCCACCAGTCACTGCCTCTCAGGGTATGCATTAGCCAGGAAGCTGGATTGACAGCAGAGAGAGATCTCACCCACTTTTATCCACTGTTACACTCCCTAAATGATTGGAAAGGCTAGGAAATCAATCCAGGTCTTCCACTCAGGTGGTAGGGACCCAACTACTTGGGTAACCACTTACTGCCCCCACCCTCCAGGGTGCCCGTAAGCAGGAAACTAAAGTCAAGAGCAGAGCCAGAATTTAAACCTAGGCATTCAAGTGTGTGATGTGGGGGTCCCAATATGCACCTTAATTGCTAGGCCAAAGGCCCGCCCCCACACCCCAGGCCCAGTGTGCTGTTATTTTATGTATAATTTACTCAAGATTATCTTCTCTTTAATTGTTTTAACCTAGAAATCTTTTATTTAAGGTATACAAACTTCATGCATTTTGTATATACAAATTTAGGAACACAGTGAATCTTCCCACCTTACCCTCCCTCCTCCCCACACTCCCACCCTTCTTTCTCCTCCCTCTCCTACTCTTTCACTTGCCAAGAGCATTTGTCCTAGCATGAGCTTAAGGGCAGGGACTTGGCAAGATGGAAGATGCCTGTAACATCCTCACCAGATTCTCCTCTGTCCTTGGCCCTCCTCTCTTACTTGTCTGAGTCCTGTTTGTGCCACTCACTTAGTCCTGTGAACCCAAATCTTGTCCTCCCTTGCCTAGCTCTCTGTCTACTGAGTGAAATATCATGTTTCCTGCCATAGCCTTTTCCATTTTTGGAAATCGGGCAGAGTACTTCTGTGTCTATAGATCCACTTTATCTGAGCCCAGCCTGTCTTTCTAGCCTTCCTCCACTATTCCTGTCTGGGCTGTCCATGCTCCAACATGATCAGGCATCAAAATCACTGGGAAGGCTCCTTAAAACCCAGATTGTTGGGCTGCATCCCCAGATTCCAACTCAGGAGGTCTGGGGGAGAGAGCCTGAGAATCTGCATTTAATATTTATTTGACAGGTAGAGTTATAGACAGTGAGAGAAAGAGACAGAGAGAAAGGTCTTCCTTCCATTGGTTCACTCCCCAAACGGCCGCTACAGCCGGCGCTGTGCCGATCCGAAGCCAGGAGCCAGGTGCCTCCTCCTGGTCTCCCATGCGGGTGCAGGGGCCAAAACACTTGGGCCATCCTCTACTGCACTCCCGGGCCACAGCAGAGAGCTGGACTGGAAGAGGAGCAACTGGGACTAGAACCGGGCACCTATATGGGATGGCGACGCTGCAGGCGGAGGACCAGCCAAGTGAGCCACGGAGCCAGCTCAAGAATCTGCATCTCCAGCCTATTCCCAGGTGCTGCTGCTCTGGGGATTTCCCTTCAGAACTAATGGGACTGCTGTTCATCAGGAAGCACCAGCCCTGGCACTCCGCTCATCCGCTCCTCTCCTCTGCCACACCTTCCCCCGTCTCTGCCGCTGGAAATCTTAGCTACCAATTAGGTTCAATTCAAATACCATCTCCTTGGACAAATACATGGCAAGTCCAGCTTCAGTTTTTACTTTTTTCTCTTCCCAAGGAGCCTGAATAGAGAATTCAGTCACATTGTACGTGACTTCTGAGGCAGAGACACAGTGAGGGCAGCGATTTATGTTGTTCGGAGCCACCATGTATTTTGGTAATTTGCTATGGAACGTGGAAACGGAAAATGAAGGCCCTGGACGCAATGAATAGAGAAGCAGGTATGTAAACTCTTGGCCTTTGACTTCACAGAAGCCTGTCGTCAGTTACTTAGGAAAAGACTTTCTTAGCCAGTTTCTCACTTGGATCAGGGAGGACATGAAAATCAGAAAACAAAGGCTGTCATGGATTTGGATGGAAAAGAGGATTAGACAGGAGAAGGGAGTGTGTGTGCTGAGTTAGTGAGGACGACTCCTGCACCAAGTAGAGCAGGGAGGAGATGGAGACCTGTCTTACGCCAGGGCAGCTGAGGGGCTGTGTTATGTCCTAGTGTGATCAGAATAGGAACCTAATAGGTCCTAATGGGGGGGGGGGTGCTGGAAGAGTCCTCGTGTCCTCTGCCTGATTCCTTGAGACCTACCCAGAGCCCAAGGAGAGTGGCCTCCTGTCCACAAGAGACAGTGCCAGATGCTGTCAGAGAACCTGTCCCCTCCCTGATTACCACAGCTGGGTTAACATCTGTGATCCGGGAGGCCAGCCAGGAAGAAGCAGGTGGTAAGGAGATACTGTGGAAGGCTGGGCAGTCACCACATTTGGCTGGGTGCACCTGTTAGAGACTGCCTTAACTTTCCTGCCATTTGGGGGATGTGGAGCCTCAAGAAAGAAAGTTGGGTCCTTTACAGGAAAAATTGGAAAATTGCTTGTTGTCTGCTTGGGTTTGTGACTCGGCAACTCGTATCATCACAGATCATTCTGATGTTTTAGAAAATGATGGAAAGGATCCTGGTTGGGTTTCAGGAATTTGCATTCTGATGCTCTTTCTTTTCCTTCCTCCCTCCCTCCCTCTCTTATTCCCTCCCTCCCTCCCTTCCTTTCCTTCTTTTCCTTCCCTTCTTTCTTTTGTGTGTGTGTGTGTGTGTGTGTGTGCGCGCGCCAGCTGCTTTAGTGCCAGCAGCCCCGGGCAGAGCCCAGGCAATGTGTTGGGACCACCACGCTCTCCTTATCATTGACCTATTGGGTGCCAGATGCTCCCACACTTTGGGTTCCAGGCCCTTCATAGCCACGTGCGAGGACGTGACAATCCCTAAGGCTCCTCTAGCTGCAGCTTTTCTCCTGCCTGTGGATGGATGCAGCAGGGGCATTTCTCACAGAGTCGCTGCTGAGTTTGAAGTCTTCCGACTTGGAGGGGAGGGATGATCCGGCAGAGTGAGCGACGCTCAAGTCCGTAAGTGACAGGTGCCCCCGGAGGCATTCCTGGAGTCCTCGGGTGCCCTACCTCACAGAGAGCGAGTACAGGCCGCTCTGCTCATTGCTGTCCCTCAGCAGGTAGCTCCCGTCACATCCATTGGACAAGAGAAGCGCCTCGGCCGCGTGGCGTGTGAGGTTGCCGTGGTACCACCTGGAAAGCAGAGGACAGTGCTGTCACTCAGGGCAGGCCACGGGGACACTTCCTCTCCTGGGCTTTAGGTCACAGGTCACCTTGCAATGTCCTCCACCAGAAGTAAGTAGCCTGGAAACCCAGCCCCCAGCCCAAACCTCAGGACGAGGAAATCCCTGGGAGGGGCTGAAGAGGAGCGCTGAGAACATAGTCCTATGTTGAACCTGGTCTCCCAGGCCCTCAAGGACCTCACATGGAGACAGGGTCTGCAGCACGTGGAGATGAGGTCATTTAACCCAGGGGAGTGGTGTCCCCTGGTAGAAAGGAGGATTGGGGCGAGACTGGTGTGCAGGGGAAACCACGTGAGCAGAGAAGCCAAGCCTGCAAGCCAAGGAGAGAGGCCTGGGTAGACAGTCCCTTAGGGCCCTCAAAAATTACCAATCCTGCTGGTGCCTGGATTTCTGACTAGGGCCCCCAGAGCTGGGAGACAACAGATTTCGCGGTTGAGCCCCAAGTTATGGCAGTTTCTTCCAGAAGCCCCAGCTAACTCACATGGTGTTGCTTTGTAAGCAGATTTTTTTTTCTTTTAAATTCCAATCCCAAACAGCCATAATAACAAGCTTTGACCTATTTTCTTTCTTTTCACTGCTGTTTCTCACCCTCTTTTGCAAGAGTGGTCTTATTTCACGGAAAACTATAGAGTAATGGCACTGGAAGCCAGCAGCATGAGTGAGATGCAACCAGTCACAGGGGCTCCACATGCTCTCAGTGAGGAGCAAGCTCCATCACATACGTTGTTTCAAATGCATAAGAGCTGGGAGGTTCCCAGGAGATGCAAACTGATCTGTATGTGTGTATTTGTGTTTTAGACAAAGTAACAGGACACCCATGGTAAAAGAAAAAAAATCCAAATAATCCAAAAGAAGGCATGGTCAAAATCAAGCTTTTACCTACCTTTGACCCCTGCTCCTTCCCCAAAAGGACCCCAATGTCAATCACTTTCCTGTTTCCTCCTGACAGTCCACACATCTACAGGCAATGCACGTATCCCCGGCCACTCTTAATTCTGCAGAAATTAAGAGTGTGGCAGGCACAGTGCTGGGCACCTGGTCCTTTCCCTTAATGACAGGCACTTCATGTTCTTTCTCACAACATGGGAGTGGCAGTAAAGTGCAATGATTAGGGTTGTAGCCCCAGGAGTGCGCCTGCCTGGGTCTCAGTCTGTACCAGTCAGAGCCAAATCCTTGGGCTGGTGACTTAACGCACCTCAGCCTCGACTTCCTCAAGTGTATGAAGGTTTAATACCAGTCACAGCTGGTGACCGATTGTCGGTGCTGCACACGTCAGTACAGTGCAAAGGTTGAAGCAGGCCCAGAGAACAGCCGTGCTCAGTACCTGTTCATGGCCTTCAGGAAGCCACTGGGAGTCATAAAGCCTCTGCAATATGATTTTCTTGTTGCTCAAGTAAAATTTCCTGTTTCTTTGCATTTAGTTTGGACAACAGACAGGGAGCAACCAGAGGCGCTGGCTGACTGCACGGGGCCCACAGTCCGGGGCAATGGCAAAGCAGCAGAGAGGAGCAATTACACAGCCAATGTCAAGGTGAGGAATGGGGTGCTGTTAAAGAGCGGGTAGGGCACAAGAGCGTCGAGGAAGAGCCCTGCTCTGTAGGTGAGGGGCCTTGTCCTGAAACATTCTGGCATCCACTGGGAACTTGTGTCACCTGAAATTTTGGCCTGCATAATAAAGAACAGATGTAAGTGCCTCTATGGAAGGCAGTTTCTCCCACAGCTCCATCAGCCAGCTGCTTTCTGGAGCCGCATTTCCTATGCTTCTCGAGCGTATTTCCTCTTGGGGCAGAGATGCCTCCATCCAAGATTCGAAATGTATTTGCTAACTGAAAGCAATGACGCGACGAACACTTTCTAAGCGTCCTTACTGAGTGCTTTACCCAGAGCAGCCCTATTCGTTGAACTGATCCCCGGACAAGTTCAAATCTGTTCACTACAAAGTGCTTGCAAAGAACAGCTGGAAGAACTACAAGCGAAGCTGTAACAAACACCAAGTTCAGCTGAAGCCAAAATTCTAATTCTTGTTGATAGAGGAAATCTCCACAAGGTCACGAGTCCTTAAATACATTTTGCCAAGAATGAATTTTGGGATGAACATTTTAGCATAAGATTCCATTTGAGTCAGCAAATCTCTTACCTGAAGCAATATTAGAGTCACAGAATTAAAAAACATAAAGGATTAAGACATTCCTTTGGATTCTTCCCGGTGGACTCTGAAGTCCCTTTTTAACATTTATAGAACTTTGCTGTTATTTAATTGCAAGCTGGCAGCCATTTTTACCAAGATTTTTTATGACAATCTTTTACGTAATAACTGTACACCTTAAACATATAACAAGTACTTGTATTTAGAGGGAGAAGAATGACACTGGGATCTGACGGGGAAAACCCTGAGAGAGCGTTGGTTTCTGGGTGGCAGTTTTGTTTGAATCCGTTTGGGCTTTATGGAATGTGGGTCCTGACAAAGGCTCATATGGAGCTTGCCAGGCAGCCACCCACACCTGGCGAATGTCCTCATTCCCCAAATAGCTCTTCCACACATGCCTAAACATCCCCCTTTCATTGAGTCAAGTGTTCCTGTCCCCGAAACTCTGATGAGTGTATGTCTCAGGGCAGTGAACAGGGAGCCAAAGAACACAGGGTAGCCTTTGTAGGCACTTGGCAACCTTTGATAAGGATGGCTCAAGACTGTCCATGAAGAACTGAGAGTTAAGTTGCTGGATGTGCCACTATCAGTTTTCTCGATTTTCAACCATTCTTTCAAATCCATGCAGATCCTTGTGCAAGACATCGTGTTTGGCAGGTCAAAGGAAATAAGAATGAAAATGCCTGGGCTGAACATCAAGAAACCACTAATTTAGTCTGGAAGAGCCTTGCAAACTCCATCCAAGTGAGAATATAATACTCAAGAGAGGTTCCAGGAAGAAAGATCACAAGCAGGTTGAACAAGCCAGGATGTAAATGGGCCTTAAAGATATTTAAGTTATTTTAAAAGTATATACAATGAAAATTAAAATATATACATGCAAAGAAGAGAAAATCGGGCTGATGATGTGGCATAGTGGGCTAAGCCTCTGCCTGTGGTGCCAGCATCCCATATGGGCACTGATTTGAGTCCTGGCTGCTCCTCTTCTGATCTAACTCAATGCTTATGGCCTGGGAAAGCAGTAGAAGCCCAAGTGCTTGGGTCCCTGTACCCATGTGGGAGACCAGGAAAAAGCTCCTGGCTCCTAGATTCGGATCGGCCCAGCTCCAGCTGTTGCGGCCATTTGGTGAGTGAATCAGTGGGTGGAAAACTTTTCTCTCTGTCTCTCCCTCTGCCTCTCTATGTAACTCTACCTTTCAAATAAATAAAATCTTTAAAAAGGAGAGAGAGAAAAAATCAAAGTCTTTCATAAAAGAGGAAATCTATATTTCTAACAGTCTCAGTACTGGATCAGAGAAATGAAAATTAAAATAACAATGTGATATTTTTCCTTATTTACTAGATTATCCATAATGGAAGAGTTAGATGGTATTAAATAATGGAGGGTTTGGGGGTGATGGATATTATTGTCTGTTGCTGGTAGGGGTGTAAGTTGGAGGGGACTGTAGGGAACCCAGTGTAACTGAGTCTGCACATATGGTCAGTGATTCTTCTCTAGTGTCTGCCTAACTGAACACTCACATGAACAGAAAGAAATGTGGACAAAGGGCAGTGCAGAATTGTTCATGGTGTAAAAATCTGGAGCTGTCCTAAACGTCTATCAACCAAGAAATGACAGATTTCAGCGCTCCTAAGATAAGATGGTACAAGAAGTCAGCCAGCAATGTTGGAAAAAGTGCGAGCATCTCTTTGTTTGCCCAGTGAGGGAAGGAGTGGGATACCAATGACATTTAGTGAGAGGGTGGCAGGAATGCTTAATATCTTACAAAAAGAATTATGCCCACCTGAACAATCAAGGAATGTTTTTCTTATAAGGCCAATGCTGAAGATATTGTATATATACACACATCAGAGTTGGTAGATCCCCAAATATAATGTTGTTAGAAGGACTAGCTATGCGCCCAGTATGATATTACTTAGTTTTGACTCCCCCACTACAAACAATCCAACATATATAAATATTAAGGATATAAAAGCATAAGTCTAAAAAAACACACACCAGCTCAAAAGTTTGGTTTCCCATGCAGAAAGAACCGCTATTGAAGTGATTGGCAAAAGAGACTTTAGCTTAATAAAATTTTCCTAACTTAGTGCATTCCAATGGAAAACACTGAATTAGAGACAAGAGAAATTTGTCAATTTCTCCCTTAATCCAACCTCCAGAGATTCTTTTATTTCATTTGTTTGATCAAAGTTTATTGAGTCCTGGAATTGATCAAGGCAATTAGGTGAAGGCAGAGGAAGAGGAAGAAATAGAGAAGAAAAAGAGCTGGAGACATAGATACAGAGGTCAAGAGGGAGGGAAAGAGAGACAGAGAAAGAAGCAGAGGTAGACCTTTTGTCTGCTTAAAGTCTGGTGGGATCCAGAGTGGCAACTGTTCAATGAGCTAAGACAGGGAAGGGGAATAACAAGAGCACAGGCCTAGAAGCAAAAGAGAAATGGCTGTGCGAAAGAAACAGAACACCATGTGGTCGTGGGAGTCATTCAGGGTGACTGGAAAGGGTACTGCAGGACAGGCGAGAGCTGAAGCGGGGAGGCGCTCAAGGCTGGGCTATATACCACCCAGGATGCCCGAAGTTCCTTTACTGGTGTCTGCAGAGCCTCTTACGGCTTACTGAGCGTACTTAACACCTCATTACGTGGAATCCTAACTGCACAGGCCTTGAAGCTCCTGCAACCATAACTGTATGGAAAAACTGTTGGCTGGCGCTGTGGCTCTGCCTGCAGCGCCGGCACTCCAGGTTCTGGTCCCATTTGGGGCACCAGTTCTGTCCCGGTTGCTCCTCTTCCAGTCCAGCTCTCT